TTAAGCATTATAGGACTTCTCAGTCATCCAACCGCTAACTTATTTTACATCTGTCAACTTTTAAGCAATCTCCTCGACGTCCAAGATTTATTGCACTTCCGCTCAGGCACTACTGTTACCTTTAATACTATTAAGGTACTTAATTTTGGAAGAAGAAACTAATGGCGAAATTCAACAATAGCGTCCCAGGAGTACGAACGCTCTAATGACGTTGAACGTATGCTAATTGTTGGCTAACGGCATCTGTCACTATCATAGCGGAAATATCAATGCTAGTAACAAAATGAGGAGCAAATTTCACCCAGATCACGTTTTTAAGTACTGTTTGGACAATATGTTAATAGCTCGTTAGGGTTAAGGTAGGTATTGGGGTTAGGGTTAGGATCAGGGTCATAATTAAGATAGATTAGGGTTAGGTTTACGGTTAGCACAAGGGTTGTGATTGGGGTTAGAATTAAGTTTAGGGTTAGGGTCAGAACTAAGGTTACGACTGCAGTTAGAGGTAGATTTTAATTTGTTTTCCTATCCACATTTCCCTGGTAAGTAGTCGTCGATCCTCTTACTAGAAACCGAAGTAATTCAACCGAGGGGTTTTGGGATGACTGCACAGCAGGTTAACAGAAATAAACGATCCACAATAACAACTCATCTTCAGTCACCTCAGTGAATACATGTACAGAAACTAGTCTAACTTAGCAACTGATACTCCTCGTTATAACTGGGACGTATTTTTAAGTCACGTCAGAGAAAGAAACCCTGTTTAATCCGTTTCCATGCATGTGTTTTGTAAATATACGTCATTTTTTGTGCAAAAATTCTCCATCTTTATGATTGGTCGTCTCAAGGTCACTCATGCGTTCGCATCCCTTGGGACGCTATTGTTGAACTTTGTCAAACTGATTTCAGAGTTCAGTCCAGTAGGAATTTCAAGACCATCAGTTAGGTCTACTAATCTCCCTATTAAACCAATATTTTTGATCATGTACTGACCGACGCTAACCTAGGGCACAAATATCCTTCATCCCAGTACGTCAAGTCATGGATTGATCACCACTACACTTTTAACATCCTTTCACAGGACTAGCGAACAGAGACCAGTAGGATAGCCTCTGAGAAGACATTCGTAGCACATGTCCACGCGACCGAAGCCGAGGGTTCACAGCCTCAACTAATTAAGTCCTACTACACTGAATCCAAAAATACAATCTTATTGACAGATAATACACATAACTCACTGTTTGGATTTGTGGAATTTTTAAACATAAACACATCTATAATTGTATATATTGTTGGATTTATATGTTCAAGTTGCTCCAAGTCAGTGAGTTTATGGTTAAGATATCATTTTAGTTACATATACTGAACTATATTGCATGTTGTCTTATTGTATAGTTGTCGTCGCTTTTTGCCCTTTTTTGTGTGAACTGTTTCCTTTGTTGATGTTGTTCTCATTGTTTGTCCGTTATTTTCTGATTTTGAGGGGAGCAACCCAAAAAGTTGCTTCTCTCTAAACTTTTACTTAATGTAATCATTCTTTTCTCAGGCGTGAGGCTAGCAACCCCACCCTGTAAACAAAAATTGCTACAGAACTTCAGTATGCTGAACCTCCTTGCACCAAAAGAAAAAGTCTGTGTAGGAACATGGAACGTCCGAACTATGTACGAGACTGGAAAAGCTGCCCAGATCGCCAACGAGATGAAAAGATACGGAATACAAGTGCTGGGAATATGTGAGAGCAGATGGAATGGGAGTGGACTCACCAAATTGTCAACAGGTGAGTCAGTGATCTACTCCGGTCACCCAGAAGATAACCACACGCACACCGAGGGCGTGGCTATCATGATGTCACCAACGGCAACGAAAGCCCTGATACAATGGGAGGCGATTTCGTCCAGGATAATGACCGCCAGGTTCAACTCCAAAGGAAGGAAAGTGTCAATCATACAATGTTATGCACCCACAAACAACGCAGACCTCGAGAAGAAAGAAGAATTCTACAGGCAACTACAGGCAACAATGGACAATACTCCAGCTGGCGACATGAAAATACTAATGGGAGACATGAACGCCAAACTGGGACCAGACAATACGGGAAGGGAACTCATCATGGGTAGAGAAGCTCTAGGAGAAATGAATGAAAACGGAGAACTCTTCGCCGACTTCTGCGCCTTCAACGAACTGGTGATTGGTGGCAGTGTATACAAGCACAAAGATATCCACAAGGCTACATGGGTGTCACCAGACGGGCAAACCAAAAACCAAATCGACTTCATCTCAATCTCAAGGAAGTGGAGGCGCAGCCTACTGGACACAAAAGCAAGAAGAGGAGCAGACGTTGGCTCAGACCACTATCTCGTACAAGGGACAATCCAAATCAAATTAAAAGCTTTCAGGGAATCAGGAGCTGCAGATAGACCACAAGCCAAGTTCAACACTCAAAAGCTGAAGGACCAGGCTACAAAGGACATCTTCATTGCAAGCATAAAGGACAAAGTCGAGACACAAATCAACACTAGCGAAGAGGTCGGCGTTGAAAAGCACTGGAACAACTTGAAAACGGTGTGGAGCCAAACCTGCATAGAAATTCTAGGCAGAAAAAAGAGACAGGACAAACAGTGGCTCACTACGGACACTTGGAAACTAATAGAAGAGAGAAGGACAGTGAAGCAAAAGATTATCCAGTGCACGGACGAGCAACAAAAACAGGAGCTGAATGCAAGCTACAATACACTGAACAAAAGAGTGAAGAAAAGCGCCAGGGAAGACAAAAGAAAATATTATGAAACCATGGCAAACGAAGCAGAACAAGCTGCAGGCAAAGGAGACCTCGCCACACTCTACCAAACAACTAGGCACCTATCGGGCAAACGTTCGACACAGATTAAGCCAATAAAGGACGACAATGGAAAGTCAATCACCAAAGAGGTGGAACAGAGAAAGCACTGGGTTGAACACTTCAAAAGACTTCTAAATCGTCCGCCACCTACAACACGTCCAGCAATACCAACAACGGAAGCAGAACTACCAGTGAACACTGACCCCCCGACGAAATCAGAAGTCCTGAATGCAATCAAGATGCTTAAAACTGGGAAAACACCGGGACCAGATGGAATCCCAGCAGAGGCTTTGAAAATAGACCCAGAGACAACAGCGGACTTGATGACACCACTACTGGAGAAGGTGTGGAAAGAGGGCAAAGTACCCGAGGATTGGAAGAACAGTTACTTATTCAAACTTCCAAAGAAAGGAGACTTAAGTCAATGTAAAAACTGGCGGGGAATTATGCTTCTGTCCATTCCAAGCAAGATACTAAGTCGCATCATCCTGGAGAGAATCAAACAAGCCCTAGATGAAAAACTTCGTCCGGAACAGGCTGGATTCAGGAGAAACAAATCATGTATTGATCAAATCGCCACTCTACGGATCATCATTGAACAAAGCTTGGAATGGCAGTCACCTCTCTATCTCAACTTCATCGACTTTGAAAAGGCCTTCGACAGCGTCGATCGAGAGGTCATTTGGAAACTACTTCGCTACTACGGGGTCCCATCGACAATTATACACCTCATCCAACAGTTATACGACAATGCTGCATGCCAAGTAATCCACAACGGGAAACTTACGGAAGCCTTCGAAGTGAGGACGGGAGTGAGGCAAGGCTGTCTACTATCACCAATGATCTTCCTGATTGCAATTGATTGGATAATGCGACAGACAACGGCAACCAACGAGGGAACAGGCATAAAATGGACTGACACAAAAGACTTGGAGGATCTGGATTTCGCCGATGATATATGTCTGATTTCCCATAAACTGGAAGATATGCAAATGAAAAGTAACAAGTTGGCAGAAGAAGCATCAAAGATAGGACTTCACGTGAACATAGATAAAACAGAGATGATGAAGATTCCTTGCCAACATCAACAGCAACAACAGACCACAATAAGCATAAATGGGAAGAACCTGAAAGAAACAACCTCCTTCACCTACCTGGGAAGCATCGTCTCAACTACAGGCGGAACTGACGAGGACATCAAAGCCAGAATCGGAAAAGCAAGACAAGCTTTCATTACTCTCAAATCTGTGTGGAGGTCAACAGCAATCAGCATCAAAAATAAGATCCGGATTTTCAACTCCAATGTGAAGTCAGTGCTACTATACGGATCAGAGACTTGGCGAGTCATAAAGAGCATCTCAAACAAACTTCAAACCTTCATTAACAACTGTCTCCGCTCAATACTCAAGATCAGATGGCCAGAAAAGATCAGCAACAGGGATCTCTGGGAGCGAACCAATCAGGAACCGATTGTGAAACAAATAGGCAGAAAGAAATGGAGATGGATTGGCCATACGCTGAGGAAACCATCAAGTGACATCACTAGACAAGCCCTCGAGTGGAACCCGAAAGGGAGGCGGCGAGTTGGTCGTCCAAGGGTGACTTGGAGGAGGTCATGTGAAGAGGAGATGAAAGCATGTGGGCAGACCTGGAGCAGGGTGAAAAAGTTGTCAGAAAACCGAAGTCAATGGAGGTGCGCAGCTGAAGCCCTATGTTCCTCTAGGAACTAAAGGATACAATAATAATATAATAATACACTGCCTTCATTCCATGGCAGGAGCGTTCCACACAAAAGTGAAATTAATGAATGCAAACGTCAGATTCTTACAATCGGACTTGTGGATATGCCAGTCTGCCTAGTAAAGGAGCTGGAAAATCGTACTTCTGAACAAACCTATGATGTACATGGGCTCTAGAATCCGATAGGGTCGAATAGTATGTATGAACCTGTCTATTTTGGTTACGAGGAATAACAGGGACGCAACACCACTCACTTCTGGCTGTGGCAGTGGTCCCCTCCGGTCTGCGGGTCCAGCCAGGAAGTATCCCGGCCTCCTCGGACAAACTATGATACTTTATATGGAGCATCTCTATTGGTGTCCATAGTAATAATTTTCAATAATCTAAGTTTTCTTCAATCAGATATCAAAGAAAAATGAAAACATTTACTCATGATAAATAGTTCTTTAAACAAAGTTGAGCAAAAAAATAAATATGTACAATGAAAATGTTTGAGTGTCAAAATAATCAATTAATTTGTTCCACAAGTAAATAATTTAATATCTTTATTTTGACAAGCTAAGCGGATTGTATTCACAATTTTTGTGAATAACTCTGAATCTAATGAAGACGACGACGACGACAACGACAACGATGGTGATGGTGATGACGATTTCTTCAGGTTATCCAACCTTGAAAGAAATGAATCTACACTGGTCTCTGTGATATGTTCAATTGCTTTCAAACTTGTATCTGACGTGTTGATAGGTAGAGTGATCTGAAGAAATTGAAAAGTAAGCAAATAATCACGCATTAATCATTAATTAATTGAAAAGAATAACAGCAATGATAATATAAGTAGTATCACACAGTATAACAACAGAAGACAAGGGCCAGGCAACAGATCGTTTATTTACGAAATCAACACATATTTATAGATTTTCACCCATATTATTATAGCTTATTCAAGCAAATAAACACAGTCTTCTGATTGGTGGTTATTTCTCACTGAAAGTTAATCTTTCATCTCTTTGTGGCTGTTTCCTGAATGTGTCAGATCATCAATATGCTAACTGTATCCGCCTACGCAAAATCAGTCTCTGTTCTTGTTTTCCTCACGACCAATATTTTGGGACATAAACAAACATTGACGTAAAATTAATGCCAACACTCTCACCACAATATGACCTCTGTTAGTGTTGTTTACTCTGGCCAGTATTTAAAATATTTACAACTAGAGGTTTCGCAAGTTTCTCTACTACACATGGGGAAAAGCATGGTAGCTCCAGGGTAGCTGATCCCAGTACACAAGAAGACCGTTTTTTCAGTGGTGTCGTTGATTGAAAAAGTGTACGTACTCCTGAATTTCTCAAAGTTGACATTTAACATAATTATTGCTTGTATTTCTTTAAGGAGAAAAATAAGAGATATCAAAAATTGGTGGATTGGTTCAGGGCTTCAGGTCAGAGAGAACTATGCCACACGATCTAGATTGTTAATTAATCTTTTATCAGAAGATTCTGGAAGAACAGCTTACATATCAAGTAATAAACTGCACTGAAAATTCTATACACCATATAAACATTGTGCCAGAATAATTCTGTTATTCAGCGAGTCAGCCATACATTTAGGGAAGTGTGAACTTCCTTATTGGAGTCCTCGGTATAGTATGAATCAATGGCAGTTAGAGACAATCGGTGATATAGCTCAAAATCCACGTTCTTAATGGCTGGCGCAGATGTATTCACAATTTGTGATTAGATTAATAATATTCAATTTGTTAATTTCACGTCCGGGTATAATCGACTAGGAAATCAGCAAACGTTCATTAGCGTCAGTCAACAATATGTATTCACATTCAGTGATATCAGTAACAGCTTTAGGCTTTTATAAACAGTTGCCTACTTCGGTAGCTAGGGATGCGTCTGTAACAAATGTCCTAGCCATCTTAATCGATGTAGCTTCACAGCCTCATCTATTGATTTCCTCTCCCGCCTACCTAGCACTCAATGTACGCCTAACCTCAAGATTACTCACCCTATTATATCACCACATAACACGGGATATAGAAGACAGACATCTATGATCAAAGACAGCTAGCTAACTTTTTCGTATCTTCCACTTTCGATGGCCATGTCTTACTCACAGCTATAAAGCAGGTCAGGTGAACTGCTGCAGTGCAGTACACACGCCGTTTGGTCGACAGCCAGACAGCCGGATATCACATCCACCAAGACAGAGATAGTGTAAGTTAGCGAATATATGCTGAACGAGTCTTCTGTATTCATACTGGGATTTCTTCAGTGATCACCCAGCTGTCGTTGGTTGATGCAACTCCCCAGCTACCATTTTACTTCTGTCTATCTCTAAGGTAGAAGTGAGTCAATCTAGTCCAGTCATGTAGCATCACTTTTACATCTGACAAGAGTGAATCGCATACTGCTCAAGGCATTCAGAAGACTCTGTTGGATTTTGTCAGCATCTTTACCCAGAAGGACTATATCCTCTGCATAGTCTAAGTCAAAAGGATGAAATGGAGATGTGTTGTTGAAGCCCTATGTTTCACCCCAACCCAAGGAAATGATAGCTTGATAATGGCTTTTTTGTTATTATATGTGAAGAAATATAATCATCATTTGTGTAACACTCAAAACAGTAGGAGTGCATCGGTGGCACTGCGGTTAGGACGCTCACCGACCATGCACATGGTCCGGGGTTCGATCCCCGGCCGACGAGGCACTCCTTTACCTTGCTGGCTAAGCCAGAAGTAAAAAAAACTGGTAAAGAGGTAAGGTTGGGCATGAGGCTGGATGTCAACCCCATCCTGTAAAAATAATCATCACCACTGCTACAGAAACTTCAAGCCTCTGGTTTGAAGCCCTTGCTATGTTCCACTGGGAATGTGAAGGAATAAAAAGAGAGAAAAAACAGTAGGACAAATTATTAAAAAAAAGAGACAGAAACAATAAAATCAACAGACTTACATCACCTAAAGCAATTGTTAACTCTTTACATAATTGTTTCATTAAATTTTCTTCATTATTTAATAATTCCGTTGTTGTTTTAATTTGACACTTGGTTCTTTGTTCAGCATTGACAAGGTTTTCAACATGTTTACTTAACAAGGCTGTTTCCTCTTCAAGTTGTGAAGCCTAAAATCAATCAACAAAGGAAATCATGGATAATCAAAGGGATATGAAAAGAGAATTACATTTCAAGATATTTGATCTGATAGAAAAAATATCTTCAACTTAATTAGATCTCATATGATGGCGGCACGTGTCATGTGATCGATCCACAACGGAGAGCACGTTTAACGAGGTGTTTGAAGTGAACACAGGAGTTACACAAGACTGGCTACCTGTCTATTATCACCGATGGTGATAGTTTTAATTGTGGTTTAGACTGTGCATTGGGAGCGAGGAGACAGGGGAATACGCAGGACGACCGTTGAGGAAACTCTAGATGATCTGCATTTCACGCGTGGATAAAATATATGCCTAATGTCATACAAACTTAAAGACTTGCAGACAGGCGAAAACCAACAAACTGGCTGAAGAGGCTAGGTGGCAGTGAAGACAGGACCGCAGGGGGGGGACATGGAGAAGACGGAGGTGATGAAGATAACCAACCAACAGCTACAGCAACAACCAATACCGCTCACCATCAACGGGAGAGATTTGACAGAGGTTTTTGCCTGCCTTCACATATCTAGGAAGCATTGTTTCAACTACAGGCAGAACGGATATATATGTCAAAGTCCAGCAGAACCGGAAAGCCAAGGCAGCACACCTTCATCAACCTGACACCACCAGTTTGGAAATCTTTCGGACTCAGCCAGCATAAGGAACAAGATTCGCATTTTCAACACCAATGGCAAGTCAGTTCTGTTATACGGGTCAGAAACTAGGCCAGTGTGTCACGAAAAGGATTTCCAACGGCGTACTGCAGACTTTTATCAACAGCTGGTTCCATACTGAAGATCAAATGGCCGGCCGGCCAGATAGAATAAGTAACAAGAAACTCTGGCAACAAGCCAACCAATAGCCTATCGCTTAACCTATATGTAAGAGAAAATGGAGAAAGGTGGATGGGGCATACATTAAGGAAACCGTCGAATGACATCGCGTGCCAGCCAGGCCATCACTCAAGTGGGATCCAAATGGGAAGCGAAAAGTGGGTCATCTGTGTGAGGGTGACATGGAGAAGATCGTGTGAGGGAGAGATGAGAGAGTTTGGGCAATTTATTTTTTTAAAATTTTGATTACAACTTGATGGCACCCCGTATTTTTGGTACAAGTATGAAATTTTCACACCATGTGATATCAGTAGCCCAAATTTTGCAGGCCGACCATAGATATCGGGTGTGCGCCGGCAGGGGATCGAATCCCGGACCATGTGCATGGTCGGCGAGAGTCCTAACCGCTGTGCCACCGACGCACACAATCGTGGAGCTAGCCGGCTGAAGATGATATCAGAAAATAAAACAAAGTGGAGAGGTGTTGGTCAAGCTAGCCGTATGTTCCACTCAGAACCCAAGGGAACAACAATAATAAAATACACCGATCAAATGGATCCAAAACATTTTGTGATCTAATTTTTGACTGAATGATTCATTCAGGGTTGAAACAAATTTCTCATGTATCAAGCAATGAGTTACACTTAATAATATAAAGGCTGATGATACCACCCAGGTTGAGGTATGCGACATAACCAGGAGTTATGTATCCCATATATCGCAAAGAGTACGAGACCTTCAGAATTTTAGGTCAGATAAGCTCCTCTGTAACTTTAAATCTAGTGATTTTTAATAGAAAACTGTAGTCAAAAAATATATAAATAAATAAAATATTTTAGATTATACTAACTTGTTTTTTTAGCTGGCGTAAAGTAGCTTCACGAAGTCGATTGTATTCTAAAAATTCATGAGTAAAAATTGATATTCTATAATCATCATCTAGAGTGTTGTGGTTGTTGTTGCTGCCAGAATACCCTTGTTTTTGAGGTTTTCTTGATTTTTTACATCCACTTTTTGATGCATTTGTAACAGCCATCTGATTCGATGCTAACCAATTCTTGTAACTATCAGTTGTTTTGTATTCAGCAAACAACTTTTTATATGATTCTCGAGCTTCTGCCGCTTGATCAGTATACATTTGTCTGTCTTCAACAGATAAATTAGCCCATTCAGCACTAACAATACGATTTCTTTCACCAAATGGTTTTGATGCAATCGCTTCTGATTCTTGTCTACGTTTTCTCATAAATAAATTGAATGCTGACAATGGTCTTCTCGGTGCATTTTTATCGTATGGAGCTTTTCGCATACTGCAGATCTGCAACTCTCTCTTTCTCCCTACAAAATCATTAGAACATTCAATAAGCAGTTATGCCTAATATAAATTGGTGAAGTTCAATAATAGTGTCCTAGGAGTGCAAACGCTTCAATGACTTTAGAGGTATTCTTAGTCATTGGCTAACGACACCTGTCATTTTCATAACGAAAATGTCAACGCTACTCACCCAAATCACATTTTTTAAAGTATTGGTTGGACAATGTGTTAATAACTCGTTAGGGTTAAGGTAGGTATTGGGGTTAGGGTTAGGATCAGGGTCATAATTAAGATAGATTAGGGTTAGGTTTACGGTTAGCATAAGGGTTATGATTAAGGTTAGAGTTGCGGTTAGGGGTAGATTTACAGTTGATGTTATTTATTTCAATTTATCTTCCCACCCACATTTCCCTGGTAAGTAGTTGTCAATCCTCTTATTCTAAACCGAAATAATTCAACCGAGGGGTTTTGGGATGACTGCACAACAGGTTAACAGAAATAAACGATTCACAATAACAGCTCATCTTCAGTCACCTCAGTAAATACATGTACAGAAACTAGTCTAACTTAGCAACTGATACTCCTCGTTATAACTGGGACGTATTTTTAAGTCATGTTAGAGAAAGATACCACGTTTAATCCGTTTTCATGCATTTTTTTTGTAAATATACGTCATTTTTTGTGCGAAAATTCCTCATCTTTATGATTGGTCGGCTCAAGGTCACTCATGCGTTCGCATCCCTTGGGACGATATTGTTGAACTTTGCCTATAGATTTGCATCGAAAATACTGTTTGTGTGATTCAGCTATGTTACCAGCAGTCCATCATCTGCACTGACTGTAATCACAGTATACCTACTAAGAAGTCCGAGAACCAATAAAATCGATGATTAAATACACTTGGAGTCATACATTGACAAGGCAGGTTTTGGGAAAGGATGAGGGTATATATTCATATTTCCTCAGCTCAACAGATTCTAGAACAAAGACATAGTCACCGGTGTCCTACAGTTGACACATTTCATGACCTAACAGTAGTATTCGAATTCGTCAACCAAGAGGTGACGTGGCAATGCTTACCCGTGAAGTGCCGAAAAAGTATATTGCAGCAATTAAAGCATTCAACCTACTCGGACTCACACAGCCGTGTAAGAGGATACGAAAAGGTATAACCTAAAGTGCTGACAACTAATGGTCTCCTTCAGAAAACCCAACTGCCCTTACTATTTTTTAACTTCATCAATGATGTATTAATGGATGTGAGGCTTATCGAATTGAATGAATTAGGGACTAATCAGAATTCATGAGCGATCGAATCGGGTCCCAGTGGCTGAATGGTGTACGAGCTTGCGTTGTAAGCAGAACGTCCTGGGTTCGAACCCCAGTAGGTGCGTACTGCCCATGATTCCCAAACTAGGATGAAACAGCTGCCCAGTACTCCGTGGTTGGTTTTCAATGGTTTTGTAAGTGATATCAATACGTGATCAACTCGTAAAAACAAAACTAACCCTTACAAACCAACTACAGAAGATTAACTTATCACTTGAGTATCGCTGACTTAGAGTATTCAGCTTATATCGTCCGCCTAAATGAATGCCCTAACATAATGCAGGGTATTTTTAACACCCTGAGTGGACATCTTGGTATTTTTTGCATGCGATTTGCTTCTCTTAGAGACACTTGTTACCTATCTTTTACACGTGTATTTTTCATGTTGAAGCTACTTACAAATTCAGTGACCATAAACCGAATTTAATCTATGCGATGGGGCTGACTACCTAACATCCCATTTAAGTGCCAGTAAACATCTACAGGCGACACTTCTAGAGAATACACAGTGGAACTGTGAGACCAAAAGTATGCTCGAAACATCCATAGACTGTAACACTCCTAGATTTTCCAGACTTCACATGACGAATATTTCCAGCCTATTCCAAATTCACTATTTTTCCCAAACAAAAAGGATTGAGACAGGTTAGTATAACAGATATGGGGGGAATTTTCCCCAAAGCCCATGTTTGTCCTGAAATTAACTGTGCAATGAAGACAAGCATGTCGGAGGCTTTTAGAGATTTGCACAAATCAGATGTACCATTTGGGAATTTTGGTGTCAGAACATTGTCATGCTATTTTAAGCTTTCACGTCAAGTATATGTCCGTGAAATATCAAACTGCTAGGCACTTGGAAGCATCTGCACTATGATTAATGTGCATCCTAAAATAATAACAATGCTACTCCCCAAAAGAATTCGGAGCATTTCAGGTGGTTCAGTGTTATTTTTTTGGAGTATTTAGGGGAAATCTGAGGGTCCCCGCAGACTCTTATGGTTATTTGGGTGGGGGGGGGGGAATGTTGCATTTCCCCAAAACTCTACTCAAATTTTTCATTTGCGCCAGCCCGAGCCCAATAATAATTCTCGTTTAGATGTATATATATATATATGATTGTACAGCTTGATACTAAATTAGTTGAAAAGAATATCTTCCCTGAATCACTTGTTTTAATCTTCCGTAATAGATTTCAGCATTATGATGATTTGGGTGCTGGAATAAATCTGAAAAAATGCCACTAAGAACTGAATTAAGTATTTTCGTTCTAAAGTAATGTTGTTCAGTGCTTAATATGTACTGTGAGGGCTGGAAAAACTCTGATAAGCAAATCTAGTAAGTTCTGATCTACTCTTGAAAATGCCTAGAAAAAGAACAAGGTGCTGAATTAGTGGCAGTCATGCAGTGCGCTTAAACAAGCCATTTTATTACAGATTCAGACTTTACTCACTATAGAATGACAGTTAGTTCAGAATAAGCGAGATTTAATTCAGCATATAGTAAGCTTGGGACGTCAGCTGGAAAAACAGCATAATCAGAGAGAATATGATTAGCCAATGTTTATCTTTGTTGATCAAACAGGCATATAAAATTGAGCAGGAACAAATAAAAATTTGGCTTTGGGAAATAAATATTTAACTGCCCCGACTTACCTACAAGTTGGAAAGTCTTTGTAATTTAAGTAACGCAAAGCTTGACCAGCGCGCACTCAGATCCAATATCCAATATCGTTTTTACGAGCTAGTATAAACGCATTTGATTTCTTTGTGCTCGCTTCTTGATTGTGAGGTATAGGTTCCTGATCTTCGGTAAACTTCTGAGTAGCTTGTCCCGCCACTCGACTGTCGTAGCTTTGGTTGACTCCAAAGGGAGTAGTGCTGGGATTAATTATATGTGGTTTGTAGTATGAGGTATGTTAAGACTGTTACTACTGTGATTGGAGTTGATCCTTTCGCCACTTAGTCCTTCGGCATCGTCAACAAGAGAAAAGAGATAGTAATAATAATAATGGATATAATTAGTGAAGTTATTCAGACTAAGAGACAGAAACGGAAATAGGAAAGCGTAACAACAGTCAGCTCATTAAGTTTGAAGAATAATATATATATCGGTAATAATAATAATAGTAATAATATTTGTAATATTAATAAGTTGTCAGGAGAGTAAGACGGGAGAGAATGTAAAGAAGTAAAATGACGAGTTTAATTATCTACCCTGATTGGTAAATGCGATTTTAAGGAGATAGGCCATTTGGATGCAGTCCTTGTATCGCTGCATGGTTGTCCAGCCTTCGCTTAAAGGCGTCCAAAGACGGTGCCATAGCTACATCTGCCGGTAAGGAATTTCAGGGACGGCAAACCCGCAGTGAAAGGAAGTGGGAGCGCACCCGGGTCCTTGCCCTCTGGTGAGCTATCCTTCTGGGATTTCCACGTGGGAGCCTATACCTACTCAATGGCAGGACACCTTTGTTTGGGTGATTCTGGTCATTTGTTATTTTGTAGGCAGTAATCAAATCCCCCCTAAGCCGACCGCAGCTAAGTGTGAACAGGCCTAATTTCTTCAGCCTTTCATCATATGGTTTGTTTTTGAGACCAACCACTCCTTTTGTTGCCCGTCGTTGGACTATTTCCAAGAGGTTGGCGTCTCTTCTCTGCATTGGGGGTGCAATAATATTATGCACCTCAAGATGTGGCCTGACGTAGAAAGAGCTCAGGAGTGAGTGCACCTAACTATCTATGCGTGAAGTGTATGACCGCATATGCCCTCGCTACATCCCCTGTGTAATTTACGCTTGTGTCCATTTTTTCCGTTAGAACCAGACCTAAGTCGCGTTCCGACGTCGTGCAGGACAAGCTTTCATTGCGCAGGGTGTAACTTGCATTCTGCAGTCTACAGGTGCGCAACTTCAGTACTTTGCACTTTTTCAGGTTGAAAGTCATGCCACTGGCCACCGCCCAGTCTTCCAGTAGGTTGAGATCTTCCTGCAGCCTATCTGAGTCCTGCTGACACTTTATCGCCCTCCCTATTTTTACGTCGTCAGTTTATAGGAGAGCCGAGCAGCTTAGACGGCGTAGTAGAGCATTGATAAAAATCAAAGACATCAGTGGTATTAGGATGGAACCCTGCGACACTCCTGATGACGAGCTGTGCCAAGATGATCGGACTCGGTTAACCTTAGTGCAAAATTGCCTGTCGGCTAGGTAGTTCTTTAACCATGACAGAAGTGGCTCAACTATACCTTCCTGGCTTATTTTATGTGGGAGAAGGTCATTGTGAACAGTGTCAAGTGCCTTCTCAAAGTCTAGAAAGACCACATGGACTGGTACATTCATATCTCATTATGATGTCCAGTCGTCCCAAGCTGACAGTGTAACAACAGAAGACAAGGGCCAGGCAACAGATCGTTTTATTATGAAAATCAACACGTATTTATACATCTTTCAACTACATTATTATAGACAAGCGCAGTCATCTGATTGGTTGTTTAGGTAGACAAACGCAGGCTTCTGATTGGTTGTTTCGGGATTCCTTGACAAATAGAGTTCTCTCTGCGAATCATATTTTGCCACGTTAACTTTGCTGTGATTGGTTGTTGACTCAGACTTGTTCATATTTTCTCACGGCCCATATTAGTGACCTAGACCTTAACGTAGATTAGTGCCAACCAATCGGCTAGCAGCCTGCTCTCACCACACTCGTCCCCCCGTCAAATACGTTCGACTGAAGTCGGCTTGATCTACTTGGTGCAGGCGTCATCGTTGGCTTGTCTCGCTGTATCCATTTCTGGAGCTCGCTGACGTTCACGCGCCTCTCATTGTTCGTCATTGCGATTGTGTCCGCGTAATCCCATCTCGAAGTGACCATATGTGGTCCTTCCCACTTTGGAAACTGTTTGCCTGACCCTGTCGAACATTCGTCCATACTTCGGCTCACACTTTCATATGCTGCTTTCACCCGACCTCCCAGCAGCGTCCCAAGTAGCAGCTCCATCGCTGACAGATCTTGAACGCCACTCAACTGCGCAGAAGCCTTGAAGTCCTGCCCGAAGATCCATATGTCTCCATCGAAAACAGCAGGGCATAGGCTTTCCATTTGTCGGTAGGCAGCGACACCAAATGTAACAACAGAAGACAAGGGCCAGGCAACAGATCGTTTTATTATGAAAATCAACACGTATTTATACATCTTTCAACTACATTATTATAGACAAGCGCAGTCATCTGATTGGTTGTTTAGGTAGACAAACGCAGGCTTCTGATTGGTTGTTTCGGGATTCCTTGACAAATAGAGTTCTCTCTGCGAATCATATTTTGCCACGTTAACTTTGCTGTGATTGGTTGTTGACTCAGACTTGTTCATATTTTCTCACGGCCCATATTAGTGACCTAGACCTTAACGTAGATTAGTGCCAACCAATCGGCTAGCAGCCTGCTCTCACCACAACAGTAGGTTAGTAACGCAGGATCTGCCTTTTCTGAAACCATGTTGGGCTTCATGTAGTATATTATTCCTATCGAAATATTCCCTGATGTGGTCGTCAATAATACTTTCCAGTACTTTTTATACCACTGGGAGTAGAGCTACTGGTCTATAACTAGTAGCGGTTTGCCTGTCCCCACCTTTGAGGATTGGAGAAAGGATGGCTCTTTTCCACTCCCTTGGCAGTGTCCCCGAATCCATTGAGTGCTGGAACAAGTCGCACAGGGGTCTACAGAGAGCTTCGGCGCACTGTTTCAGAACAGATGGCCTGATGTCGTCACAACCTGTGGACTTCCCAGGTGTGAGTCGCTGTAGCTTCATTTGTACTATTGCGGGGTTTATTTGGGGAGTAGCCGCTAGGTCTTCCTCCTTTGAAATAGTGGTGCCACCATTTTGGTCCGTAACTGTGATATCCACATTGCTGTTTATCTATTTGGCGAAGGCTGAACTGAATGTTTCAGCCATCTCCAGACTAGTGAGATATTGACCGTTTGGGCCTACTAAGGCGCATGCCCCTTGGTTTGTCGGTTTTCTTTTCGACATGAATCGGCACAAGTTTTGGGTTTGCTAGGAGTTTTTTTAGCAAGGTTAGCCTGGAATGACCTCCTGTCCCTCCTGACTGTTGCGTTACACCGGTTCCTGAGATCGAGGTATGCATCGTGGTCGGTGTAACTCTTAGATACATGCCACGTAAACCAAGCCTTCCGTTCTGCTTGCAGAATACGTTGCGCGCCTCCCCTGAACCATGATGTCTTTCTCTTGGGCTGTGTTGTGACTAAAGGGTTGGTATCCGAGATTGCTATACGAATAATCTTTTTTACCACTTCCCAGTGTTCATCCACAGATAGGTCGTCCCATGCTAAGGGCCAGTCTGAGTCGAACAAGAGCCTCCGAATTTCAGCATAGTCAGCCTTGCTGTAACACAGACATGGTCGCGTAACGTCCCTCTGCAAACGCTCAAGGAGAACAAGATCGAAACCTATGACTGCATGGTCACTACTACCCACAGAAGTCATTATCTGGACCTTTTCGGCTAGTAGTTGGTCACTAGTTAGAATATAGTCTAGTTTTAATGACTTTCCACTAGGGCCCCATCTAGTGTCGTCTCCAACATTCTTAGTCAGTCCCGTGTTTCGAATAGTTTGCAGTAGGTTTTGGCTAAATTTTCCCTTAGCACCCCCGTAGCCGAGGTTCAGTGATGGAGCATTGAAATCTCCAGCTATGGTGGTTTGGTCGTAGCCCATATCTCGTATCCCTGTGATAGTGCTGAGCAGTAGCTGATTGTGCTCTGCACCACAGGTGGAAGATCGGTAGATGCCACCCAGTAAGTGCTTGGTGTGGCCTACGGTGAAATGACACCATATGGAGTCTGGGAGTTCAATAAGTGGTGGCTCCGCTGCGCGCACACATTTAAGTTGCCTATCAAAGTATATAGCAACTCCCCCTCCTTCCTTACTATCCCTGTCTCTCCTAACCAGAACCATATCACCTATACTGATTTCATTATCGGCGATAGTGGGGTTTAGCCACGTTTCAGTGAGAATGATCATTTTAATTTGAAGGTGTGCTTGGAGATTTCGGAGTTCACCTACTTTTCCTCTCAGCCCCCTCACATTGCTATATAGGCAACTGACAGTGAGTCTAATAACCTCAGAGTCTTGTGGGGTAGTTGACGTGAAACTGTCTGCTGGTGGGGGACTTGATGTTGGGACCGATAGACCCGGCCCGTTGTAGTTTTTTTCAATGGATTTAGGCAGGACACTTGGGTGACACAGACTGTTATTCTCAGAACTGCATCGCTCTAGTGTCACTGAAGCTTGGGGATGTATTATAGCCTCAGTTTGCTGCCTTCTTATAGCTCGTGGTCTGCTTTCACAGCATCGGATGTGTCCTCCAATTTTTCCCTTGGTCTCATACCACCGTTGAAGTGATATGGACAACTGCTCCAGGGAGTTGAATATGACACACAGCAGCTTTGGAGAGTTAATCAGTGTCAGATGAGCGGGACGCGGTAGTCGGAAAATGGAGATGGCTCCAGAAGCGCCAGGGGCCATCTGAGATGACAGCCATCTCCATTGCTGTAGGTCGTGGATGTGTTTTTCACAAGCAGTGCCGGTTTCCAGCTCCGGAACACCGTGTACCACCATAGAGGTGGAAGGCATCAGTTCCGGTGACTCCCTCGCCATATGTCTGATAGCCCATGGCCTATCTTGTCTCGCCCTTGCGTTAGAACTTCTGTCCAGGGCTAGTA